ATTCACATTTTGTTCCAATAATCCCTCCCCTCTGGTATTCCAATTAAAATAACATTCCTTGCAGCTATCATAGAATCATCAGGAGCAAAACATCACATACTTTCTTTCTGCGTTAAATAATGGATTGTTTTTCCATTAATTTGCCCTCCACAAACCCCAGTAAATCACATGCGTATGATTCATTTCAATACATTCCTCCCTAAACGTTAAAGCAAAACCTACAAATGTATATTTAAAAAACAAGCCAGCAGAATAACTGCCTGCTTATTAACAGTGGATTTCAACACAAAAGAGGATTTCGAGAAGCTGTGAGAAAGTTTTTAAAAATATTTTTTTCTCTCCGAGTAGAACGGATTTTGCCACACGAACTCGTCCGAGCTCACTGCACGTATCCAGAGCTACACGAACGTCACGTCTGGCGATCAACTGGCCCTCAAGCTGGCGCTCTTTAAAAACGGCCCCGTTGCCGTGAGTATCGACGCATCACATCGCTCGTTTGTTTTCTACAGTAACGGCGTCTACTACGAACCTGCTTGTGGTGAGTGTTTTTTCTTTCCACAGTGATTGCGTTAGATACTATCCTTCACGCTCACAACAACGTAACTCGCTGGTTCTGTTTTTCAGGGAACACTGTGGATGATCTGGACCATGCTGTGCTTGCAGTGGGATATGGCACCCTGAATGGAGAGCCATACTGGCTCATCAAGAACTCTTGGTCCACATACTGGGGCAATGATGGCTACATCCTCATGTCTATGAAGGATAACAACTGTGGTGTTGCCACTGATGCTACATATGTTACACTGGCATAGACTGTCTTCTTTTAAAGCCTTTATGTTGCTGCTGATGCCACTTCATGACTGCTGAATTACACTTAATCTTGATGTGTGTGTTAGGCCAGCTTTATGGGAAAAAAGCCTAAGAACTTATCGTGGACTGAACTAAACATGGCAGCCTGATTGGGAGCAGACAGCACTACAGTGTTGCATTGATAACAAGACAAACTGGATCATTGTGAAGTAAAAAGTGTTACGTCCCGATAATCTATTTTGTCTCTGTGGTGTTAGTTTTTTAATTGCTGCTGGAAGGCAGAATTTTTATTGAAAACAAATTTAAATAAATTTGCTGGTCCCAGGAAGTTATTAACTCTGGTTGCTTTGTCTGTTTCTACTTGGTGGCACACAAACACACACAGAACAAGTTCACTCAGTCATTAAAATTTTACTGCTCAAGGCACACTGGCTCAATGCCCTGATTTCAGATAAGTCACAAATTTCCACTCGTCCTTTACAGACAAATTATTCCTGCTATAAAAAGAAGTTGCATTTATAATGACATCTAACATCACATGCTGTGGCCAGCATTAAGGCGTGCACTCTCACATCATGCATATCGACATTTATACAATTGGTTTCTTTAATTTCTTTGCAAAAGGAATTTAGTTTGTTTGTTTTTTTAAATCTACAAAAAATCTTACAACAAATTGTTTTCACAATGGAACAGAAATAATATCAAGTGTTTCAACTGACTTTACTATTTTCTTTTTTTTTTAAATTGATGGAAGGTCACAAAAATATTAAATCATACAGGAGCATGATAAAGAAATGATGCCGTCTTCTGATGATGCCGGAGAAATTGGAAAACTACTCTGTGGTCAGAAATGTGAAATTCCTTTTGGAAAACATGAGCGTCATGTCCTCCCAGATAAATCCTGTGTCTTTCACGGTGTGTGAGTGCATCAGGGGCTGTGCAATTACACATCTGAAAAGGCACCATTAGTGCTGAATGGCATATACATACATATGAGGGCCCAAAATTAAAAAAAAAAAGCAGAGTGGGTATAAAATTTTGAGAAAAAACTCAAGATTTTTGACATTAAAGTGGCAAATCTGAGAGAACATTGAGCCTACAGTGCCTAAGACGCCTCTCATGGTTTCAATCCTTCAAACCATGAGGATTGAATGCTTTAATAATCTGTTGGATTGCGTCCTGATGTACCACAAGTCCTCAAGACATCAACTGTGCTGTAGTACTTCACACACAGGCTGTTACCTCATCCAAATCAGTGTGTTTTCTCCTGAATAGCAGCTCACGACAACGACTCTTTGAAGCTCAGACGCTTTTGAAAATGTGGTGATTCTGAACTTAAACCACAAGGATTTCTTTATTGCAAAGTCCAATTGAAAAGTAGAATTAAATTAGGTCATCTAAGAAAAAGGGGTTTTTTGTATTATTCCTGGCAAATTTGCCATTTTTCTCATTAATTTGCCACTTTAATGTAAAACATGTTGGGGTTTTTTCCATTTTTTTCTTGGAATTTTTCCTGCAGTCCAGACCTTCCACCAACAGAAAGCAATTGGCACATCATGAAGAGAACAAGATATAAAGACTCAGGACTGATAAGCAGCTAGAATAATTTTTTTCTCAGTTTAAATGTTCCATATTGTTTCCATATTCTATTGTGAATCAAATGTGGGTTTATGAGGTTTGCAAATCATTGCATTTTATTTCTATTTACACTTTTACAGTTGGACATGTAAATGCTTGTGCCTGAATAACAGCACAAACATACGGTGTTGTGTGAAAGTATTTGCCCGCTTCCTGAGTCCCTCTTTTCTTTTTTCTCATCTGTCACAATGTTTCAGATCATTAAGCAGAGTAACCAGAGTAAACGCAAAACGCAGTTTTTAAATGATCATTTCATTAAATGTGTAAAAATAAAATCAAGAAGGGGCACAGATACTTCACAGCACTGTATGGCATCATATTGCACATTCAAGTGCATCCGATACATGAATCGAATTTCTTCTATAATTCATAACAATAACAGCCCTTGATTGCTTGTGAAGACTCATGGAGTGTTATCATTGATACATGCTGCAGTCCATTTGTATTGGACAATAATAAAAGGAGAACAAATCTAAAAACAACAACAACAACAACAACACTGCAGAAATCAAATATTCTTCCACATGCTGATAACAGTCAAATCTCTTTTTTTTCATCCAAATCTATTAAATACAGCAGTCTAACTAAAAGGCTTCACTAGTGCATGCAGTCTTTTTTCTTGGCTTGAGACGAAGATGAGGCAGTTGCTTGCAATATAAATTTGTGCTACAACCAACATATGCCCAAAACAAAAACACTTTCATACAAAAATATCAAGCATGTTTCTTTGAACAAAATGTTTGAAATGCAGTAATAACGTTTGGAGAATAGGTGCGTTGCATTTGGCAGTCTGCTAGTCTTCTCCAGTCTTTAAACAACGTTTAGTTGTGCGTTCGGCCCCCCAATCACAAGAGCAGCGCGTCCAGGGATTTTGCCCTGAACAGCAACCGCACACCCATCTTGAGTGAAAACAATACCTAATTTTAAGTGGTGCGAAACACAGTCCGGAGATCTTTGCGAATTTATAGCACGCAGCACACACAGATCAACAATCAGCACCGTTACAGTCACGTGAAACAGAAAGTTTTCACTGGACTTCATGCTGCCTGTGAAGACCCAAGTACACATTTAATGCTTCCAAAGCAATTAAGAGGATAATAGAACACAGTTTATTTAACTGACTAACAACAAGCGTGACCACTTCTAAAAAAGCAGACGTTTGATGGTCTGGTGCATTCAGGTGTGTGTTAACACATTACCGAATCTTCAGAGGAATGGACACCCCAAAGTCAGACCACCAAATGCTCAGAGAAACAGCAAAAAACAGCTACGTGAGCTACATCTCAGAGTCTACACACTTCAGTTAGAATGTTAAATCTTAAAGTTCACGACAGTACAATTTAAAAAAGACAGAAAAAGTCGCTTGCTTGTGAGGAGCTACCAGGAGAACATCTCCTCTCTAAAATGAACATGGCACCAATGCTTAGGTTTGAACAGTAACATCTGAACAAACCACAACACTTCTGAAGAATATCTTTTGGCAAAAACCAAACTCAGCATATCAGCACTTACAGCTCATATCAGCTGTGAAGCACGGTGGTGGAGGGTGATGATTCAGGCTTCCTGTTGGCCATGTGACCTAAGCATCTTTCAGTGACTGAGTCGACCATGAACTCCTCCGTACACACAAGTGATCTAAAGTCAAACGTGTGACTATCTGTCCGTCAGCTAACGTTTGACCCAAATATGGTCACGTAACAGCACAGCAGGAACAGAACGGCTGAAAAGAATCCAGGCGTTACAATGGTCCCGTCGAAGTCAAGACTTCAATTTGATTAAAATGCTGTTGCAGGTGCTTAACAGAGCTGTGTATAAACAAATGCCTGCAAACCTCAATGAACTGAAACAACGCTGTAAGGAAGATGTCCCAGAATTCCTCCACGATAACGTGGTAGACTGAGAAAGTCATACAGTGAGCTATTACTTCAAGTTAATACATGTGGTTCTACAAGAAGTTTCTGGAGTTAACGAGTGTCGCAGAAGGAGAGAGGAAGTCGCTTTAGCTTGCTGCAGCCATGTCTGACAAGCTAACTGTTAGCCGACTTACATACAGGAGAAGATTAAATTAATTTTTGCTGCGTTTTCATTGTTGCTATAGAGTTATTATTAAACTGGCAGATTTTACAAATGTGACTGTTTACTCTTTAAATTTGACTTAAATGACAAACTTACAGAACAATCCAACTCAGCTTTATATTGATGTAAAGACCCTACAGTAATGCACTTTTACGCTGATTGTTTTCGCCCAAAAGGCGGTGCAGACGTTCTGGTGGCAGGGAAGTGATGTATGAATGCTCTCATGCATGGATGAATATACTGTATACACATATGCAAAATCCTAATAGGAGCTATTATTCTGCCTACCCACATTCAAACCTCAAGTAAAAGGTGTAAATCTCTGATGGATTTAAAAGATTGTAAAACACAGATATTTCTGTGCTGCTTTTTTTCCATTTGAAATATGTTCTGCTCAGAATCAAACACCTGACATGTAATTGCATAGAGGGTTTTGTGAAAAGTAGTATTTCTGGCATCAAAGCTGAGGCTGTGCATTAGGTGTGGCTTGCCAGATTGCATAACTCCAGCTTCTCTGTGCTGCGTCCTGATTGGCTATCATCTTCACACATCTCTGGGTTTTCCTCGGTTGGAGGTGTCCTGTGAGAGAGGAATAACAAAAAGTAGACACTCATAAGTGTAGAGGTTTCATGTGCTTTGGAGTTCAAATTGAAGACTGTGTGTTAAAGTTTGCTAACCTGCGTTTTTACTTTCATCCTTTCTTTTGTATTTTGCTCAGAAGCAAGCAGGTTTTTAAACAATTACCTAACATCCCAGTTCTCTGAATCCTCCACTGTGTCTGGAAGAGGTCTGTCGGCAGTTTCAGGAAGGGCCAGGGCAAGGACAGCTCCCAGAAGCGGAGAGATGCCGAAGATGGCGAGGGGTGTGGCCGGGCTGTGGTTATGCAGCATGTTGATAATGGGTGCCAGCACACCACCCATCCTTGCAAACATACAGGATACGCCTATTCCTGTTTGCCTTTTGGCACAGCAAGGGAAAAGAGACAGTTTCAGGAATGCGTCACTGAAATAACCGTTTGATGATTAGGACAGAAGTCTCACCGAAGCACCGTGGGGAATATCTCAGCAGTGTAGACATAGATCACAGCAAACGACGCCGCTATGCCAAACTTCCCTACCATGGCGAGACCACTCAGGAGATTGGGATGATCTGCAGACGGAAGGAGAAAAATCATTCAAGTGATGAAATACATTTTAATATTAGCTTTTTGAGGAAGAAAAAGCATTTTAGCAAGTTTCCATCTTACCTGCAGGCACTGCAAGCATGAGCAGACAGGCGAGGCCTCCGATTGCCAGAAAGCCACTCTGAGTGAGTCGGCGGCTAAAGGGCAGCACGACGAGGACCAGAGAACGAGCTGGGATCTCAACCAGCCCGAACACGAACTGGGTCAGGTAGAGGTCTGTCCCCAACCTGGACACGCCCAGTGAGAGACCATAATAGACCAGCACATTCACAAACCTGTGATTTCAAAGGGGAGAAAGAGAGGAGTGGTAAAAAGCTACAGAGACATTGTCTCTGCTGAAAATGACAGTGAAACGACAAGAAGTCGTACCAAACATAGAACAGGATCAGCGATCGTTTCCTCATCTGAGGCGTGCGTACCAGATCGACAGCCGAGTGACTTCTCTTCCCCTCGACCGATATCTCACACTCAACCTGATGTGGACGCCACAAACGAATCAGAAACCACAAAAGAGGCTTTTACATTTTACCTGTACATTAAAAACATCCCTACACTACTTGATGTACTGTAAATGTTAAATCAAAATATTATATTTAAATCTAAGTGTTACATTAAAAATCCTCAAACCAGATGTTTTTATAAGGTGTGGAGCATGCTTCAGCTTACAAACCCCATACAGTTATGTGTAGGCTGATCTAGTACTTAGCAGTGTTGTGGTACAGGTGCCTTTAGCCACGCTGGCTTTAAGCAGTCATGATGGCTCATGTAACGACTGCTTATATCTTTGCCGAATGCATTTAGCTAAATCCACAAGGAGCAGTAAACCTCTGAGTCATCAACACCAGGAGTACAGGTCAGCTGATCACCGGCTGTCCACAAAGAAACTACTGTAACTCCCAGTGCACATCATCATGTGACTTATTTAAGTTAACCCCCCTGTGGCACTGCTCCATCTATCTCAGGGTTCCCCACCTGTCAATTTCAATTTTAACACCTGTACATGATTAATAATAAAACATGTTTTAGTATGAAAATTTAAAGTACATAAAATACTCAGTAGTAAAGCAGGATGGCCTTTTTCACAGCCATATACAGGACATTGTTGGATCATTTTTGGCCTGATAGCACTGAAATAGAATTCATGGAAAAGTTACGTTTATTTGTAATTTCATTCAAAAAGGTAAAGTTGCATATATTCTTTATTCATTACATGTGAAGTGAATTAATTCAAGCCTTTTTACATAATGATCAAACAATATAGTTACTGCGTATCTCTCCGTCTAGCTCTGTACATGAAACCACGGTAACGGGAAGACTGATTAGTCTGGAAGGTCGTCACTAGACTGCAATAGTGTATCACCAGCTGTGAGTCATGACAACCAGTTATTGAAGTTTCATCTGTGCCACAAACCTGCACGTGTTAAGCACACAGCCCGAGAAAATCCCTGCTATCCTGACCATACATTACACGCTGCATTAAAACAAATCAAGAAAACAGTGTTCTCAGCACGAAACCTCAAGTCCTTCAGCTTTCATGTGGCCATCATCAAATCAGAGGATTCAGCTTTGAAAACCAGCTTAGAAATGTATGTTTTTATTTATTTATTAAGTTTCACCGCATAAAAGTGGTACTCCTCATTTCGTGATTGTCTCATTTTCCTCAGGAAGCTCAGCTTTCACTTGATTCATATTTAATTCTTATGAATATCTTGCAAGATAGAAAATGCCAAAGGGACCCGTTTCATGAGAGAACTGCAGCATGAGTCCTACGAGACAAAACAAAACATTTAATATGGCTTTTTGTTTTCTTTTTCGCATGGAAATGATGAAGACGACGAAATCTCTGCGGCTTTTCCGAGATCATCGCTGCTGATATAAAGGCAACTGTAAGGGGAGGAGATTTCTCTGTGATTATTTTCTTTTAATTTTGTTACAGAATCGCACGAGGCCACATGAAGATCAAAGGAGCAAACATTTGCTTCCAGGACAGCATGCCCTGTTCACTGTTTTCCCTTGGTTTAATGTAGCATGTAATGAATGCTCACACTACTGGTGTGTGATCTGAAATGCAGTTAGGTTTGTGTGCGATCGCTGCTGGAGGAGTACGAGGTTTTTGTGAGAGTTTACAGTTTAGAGTAAACAGCAGAAAGGTGACTGTAAAAATAAAGCCTAGCACTGTCACAAACACTGTTTTTGAACCAGGTGATCCTGAACCTGACACACACACACACCTGTACGGTGGGAGGTAAGACACGACCATTAACCAGCGCTGCCTTGCGAAGGAGCGCGATGGCCTCCTCTCTCCTGTTGTTGGCCAACAACCATCTGGCCGAATGGGGAAGCACCCTTGTTGGCATTGAGAGGTCAAACAGAGAGGTAGAGAAAAGGAGAAAATGAGGAATGATAACATGCAAGACACTCATAGAAATGCAGGTGTATTTTCATGTCTGAGCAGGGCAGATTTTATATTCAGATGTCAGTTGAATTTCTCACCATATATAGAAGCTAAGCAGGAAGCCCGGGGCTGATATTGCTAGTTGCAGCTTTCTCCAGTCTCGTATAAGATATGCTACTCCTGCTAGCAGCATATAACCCAGGCCATAGGCATAGTCGGTGATGATACCAGCCAGCATGCGTCTCTTGGTGCATGTCCACTCAGTACCTGTAGAACGAAGCGAGGAGAGGAGAGGAATTGTGGGTAATGGTGGCAAGGGTTTTGCAAAAACAGCTTTCAACCAGTTTATTTGCATATCTGAAGATAATGAAAGGTCTGCACAAATGTGTTCCTTTGTTGTTAGCATAAAGATGAGGAGAGCCTAGCTGTCTAAAGCCTGAACTTACATCTAAAAGTTCTGTCATGTTTGCTTACTCAGCACAAAAAATAACTGTATGAGAACTTAGGTGAAAATAAGAAAAGCGCTAGACAGAGCTCTTAAATGTCTGGCATGGTGGTGCATTAGTAGTCTATGAGGTTTTGAGTCATGTGACCACGAATCTTGTGACCGTTAATCACCTGATATAACCTGTGTGCTTTTTTGGATGTGTAACAAGGTTTAAGTGAGTAAGGCAAGGCAAGTTTATTTATATAGCACAATTCAACAACAAGGTGATTCAAAGTGCTTTACAGAGACATTAAAAAACAAAAACAAATAAAAAGCATGATTTAAAATCGATTAAAAAAACAG